TTAAAAAAACATTTCTGTCTTTTAGCACTCGGCTGCTCCCAGTGGCTCTGTTCCCATAGCAATAGAAACCATCTCCCCTCTCCCATTCCGAACAATACTAACATCATCCACCCCCACTCAGCTGCCTCTTTGCTTGGCTTTTACAGCTGTTCATTGCTGGGCAGCTTGGCTGGCTAGGGGAGGTTATGTTATGTTGGAGTTAGGTCTTAAAGGGGCAGGGCACCATCAGCCCAGGTGCTAGCCACTTTTCAGGCAGCCTGCCCTTTCACATAAACCACTGAAACAATAAACCATATAAAACTTTAATTTAGCATAAGTGGATGGCAGTATCTACCCAATCTTGGCTGATTTTAAAAGTGATAAGCAAACTAGCTTGGACTTGGTTACTACTTCTATTAGACATTATCTAGAAATCGCAGAGTTGTAAAACAGACTGGGAAACAATTATAATCTCTCTCTATACTACTAAAACTCTCACTGCATTGATCTGTTTGTACCCTCAAGATAGCCCAAATGATGCATTTATACCATAACAAGTTTTGAATCAAGGTACCATATTTTCCGGCGTATAAGACGACTTTCTAAACCCTGAAAATCTTCTCAAAAGTCGGGGGTCGTCTTATACGCCCAGTCGTCTTATACGCCGGAAAATACGGGTATTCAGGCAGGCTTCCAGAGTTCGGCTGGCAGGATGCAGGTAACCCCTCCCCCCGTCCTGCTGCCTCCCACCGCACCGCGCCGCTCCGCGTTCCGCGCCTCCGTGTCTCAAGCTGGCATTATGCTTGGGTGGAAGACTTTTTCTTTTGCAGATGGGACGGGTGGGCCTGACATTCACGCGCAGGCAGGACCCCGCCCGAGCCACCGCTTCCCCATCGCCCTCCACGCCAGCCGGCTCCGTCTCCAGACCTCCCAGCTGACGGGCGCAGGTCCGGGGGTCGCCAGCTGATGGGCGCAGTAGTTTGGCGCTGCAGCGGCCTCCCCTTCGCCCTCCGCACCAGCCAAAGCGTTGCCTGACGTTCCAGCTGACGGACGCAGGTCCGGGGGTCGCCAGCTGACGGGCGTAGGAGGTAGGCGGCGCCGCGGCCTCCCAGCCACTTGCTTCTTCGGCTGGAGCAGTTGCAAGGGCTTGCATGGTCCCCAAGGGCCGCTGACGCGCTCCCCGCCACCGGTGATCATGCAAGCCCTTGCAACTGCTCCAGACGAAGAAGCAAGCGGCTGGGAGGCCGCGGCGGTGCCTACCTCCTGCGCCCGTCAGCTGGCGACCCCCGGACCTGCGCCCGTCAGCTGGAACGTCAGGCAATGCTTTGGCCGGTGCGGAAGGCAAAGGGGAGGCCGCTGCAGCGCCGAACTCCTGCGCCCGTCAGCTGGCGACCCCCGGACCTGCGCCCGTCAGCTGGGAGGTGTGGAGACGGAGACGGCTGGCGTGGAGGGCGATGGGGAAGCGGTGGCTCGGCGGGCAGGGTCCTGCCTGCACGCGAATGTCAGGCACACCCGCCCCATCTGTAAAAGAAAAAGTCTTCTGCCTTAAGGTTATCCTTAAAGCATAACCTTTAAGGATTTTAAGGATCTTTGAGAGGGAGAGAGAAATAGAGGGAGAGAAAGAGGGAAAGAGAAATAGAGAGAGGGAGAGAGAGAAAGAGGAGAGGGAGAAAGGGAGAGAGAAAGAGGGAGACAGGGAGAGAGAGAGAGAAAGAAGGAGGGAGAGGAAGAGAGAAAGGGAGACAGGGAGAGAGAAAAAGAAAGGGAGACAGGGAGAGAAAGGGAGAAAGAGAGAGGGAGGGAGAAAGAAAGAGAGAGAGGGAAAGAGAAAGGGAGAAAGAGAGGAGAGAAAGAAAGAAGGAGAGAGATTAAATTAGTAACATGGCTGTTCAGTGAATCTGGTTTCCCCACTAACTTTGCTTGTCACAAGGTTGCAAAAGGTGATCACATGACCCTGGAACAATGTGACCATCATAAATAAGAATCGGTTGCCAAGCATCCAAATGTAAATTACATGACCCTGGGGATGCTGCAGTGGTCATAAGTGTGAAAAATGGTCATAAGTCACTTTTTCCAGTGCCGTTGTAACTTTGAACAGTCACCAAGCAAACTGTTGTAAGTTGAGGACTACCTGTACTTTGTCACTTTTTTCCATTTTTTTTTGTCATCAAGCTTTTGACAACTTGCTGGGTGACTGGTGGTACTCGAATGTTGCCATATTCTAAAAGTGGTGCAATCGGTGAAAAGGTTGAAAAGCCCTGGCTTAGAAAACAAACAGCATGGCAGCTCCCATGGGTTTATTGTCTTATCCTTCCTTTCAGCTTTAGAATGAATTAGGAAAAGTTTAATCCACTTGCACTGTTTTATGACAAACAGCCTTATGTTTATAAGTGACAGTTTTCCTGCTAAGTACCTGCATGTCATAAGCATTTGAATTAAAATTACCATATTGAAATCAAATCTGATGTTTTTTAATTTTTATTTGGTGTGTGTTGGAACAGGGGTAGTCTTATACGGTGAGTATAGCCCAAACTCTATATTTTAACTGGAAAAGTTGGGGGTCGTCTTATACACCCAGTCGTCTTATACGCCGGAATATATGGTACCTAAAATCTGCTAACTTAAAGAATACATTAAAAAATAGGACCCATGACTCCTATGGATTTGAAATTTCCATGATGTTCAGACTAATTTTATTCACAAAATCATGGCCAGCATCCTCACAGTCACATGATCACAATTTCCAATGCTCCCCTATCAGCTTCCAACAAACAAATTCAACCACCTTTAAAGCGCTCCATGGCATCGGACCTGGATATCTCCGAGACCGCCTTCTGCCACAGGTTCCCTCTCACAGACCGGTACGCTCCCACAGAGCGGGCCTCCTCAGGGTGCCGTCGGCCAAGCAGTGTCGGCTGGCGACCCCCAGGGGGAGGGCCTTCTCTGTGGGTGCCCCCACCCTCTGGAACGAACTACCCCCCGAGATCCGGACGATTCCGGACCTCCTATCTTTTCGCCGCGCCCTCAAGACATGGCTTTTTCA